TATGACTTATCGATTGCAATAAATGACTTATTTGTTGGGATAAACTTCTGATTCATTCCAGCTTGACATGGTACTGTAATATGTATCCTACAGGTAATCTATCTGTTGCAACAGATGACTTACCTGTTAGGTACGCGACTGTAATTTTTTAAGAAACACTCAAAATATCAAAATGAAAAATTCGAGTAAAAATCATTAGTTTACTTACAAAAATCACCTATGATGTAATGCCCAATGATATATGAATGAAAATTGGTTTGAAAGCAGCAGTACAATATAAATATCAACTGAAGAAGAAAAAAATGATGAACAACCAGAAGATGATGAACAACAAGAAGAAGAAGAATGATGATGGAGAAGAAGAAGAATGATGATGGAGAAGAAGAAGAATGATGATGGAGAAGAAGAAGAATGATGATGGAGAAGAAGAAGAATGATGATGGAGAAGAAGAAGAATGATGATGGAGAAGAAGAAGAATGATGATGGAGAAGAAGAAGAATGATGATGGAGAAGAAGAAGAATGATGATGGAGAAGAAGAAGAATGATGATGGAGAAGAAGAAGAATGATGATGGAGAAGAAGAAGAATGATGATGGAGAAGAAGAAGAATGATGATGGAGAAGAAGAAGAATGATGATGGAGAAGAAGAAGAATGATGATGGAGAAGAAGAAGAATGATGATGGAGAAGAAGAAGAATGATGATGGAGAAGAAGAAGAATGATGATGGAGAAGAAGAAGAATGATGATGGAGAAGAAGAAGAATGATGATGGAGAAGAAGAAGAATGATGATGGAGAAGAAGAAGAATGATGATGGAGAAGAAGAAGAATGATGATGGAGAAGAAGAAGAATGATGATGGAGAAGAAGAAGAATGATGATGGAGAAGAAGAAGAATGATGATGGAGAAGAAGAAGAATGATGATGGAGAAGAAGAAGAATGATGATGGAGAAGAAGAAGAATGATGATGGAGAAGAAGAAGAATGATGATGGAGAAGAAGAAGAATGATGATGGAGAAGAAGAAGAATGATGATGGAGAAGAAGAAGAATGATGATGGAGAAGAAGAAGAATGATGATGGAGAAGAAGAAGAATGATGATGGAGAAGAAGAAGAATGATGATGGAGAAGAAGAAGAATGATGATGGAGAAGAAGAAGAATGATGATGGAGAAGAAGAAGAATGATGATGGAGAAGAAGAAGAATGATGATGGAGAAGAAGAAGAATGATGATGGAGAAGAAGAAGAATGATGATGGAGAAGAAGAAGAATGATGATGGAGAAGAAGAAGAATGATGATGGAGAAGAAGAAGAATGATGATGGAGAAGAAGAAGAATGATGATGGAGAAGAAGAAGAATGATGATGGAGAAGAAGAATGAAGAAGAAGAGAAGCAACAATGGTCCCCAACAATGGAAGAATACGCAAGAGAGGAAAAGGGAAAAAGTGAACCTTTGGTACCCTTTTTCCCCCTCAATTTCTTATTATTGATGGACTAAAGTGTAAAATAAAGAAACTTAGGGATGAATAATTCAATCCCTTAATTCTTAATTTAAAAATTGTCACCCCTACTCAATAATTAAGACTTGAGTCACCAATCCCTAATTTTGAAACTTTTTTATAACCCTTAATTCATTGTCCCAAGTTAGTACGAACATCCATGTGCTAACAAAACAAAGGAAAGCAATAAAGATGTCTTTATGCCCAAATGAGCCAAAAACCAAGTCTAGTTCAAACACATCCAAAAAGGGAAGGGGGAAGGTAACGTAATCGTCTGGAGATCCTTCGAGGCTCATTCACGGGTCCATGTCTCTCTCAGGAAGGGAGAATCTTAAGAATCCTCGAGTTCAAGGGTGGGAAGCTCCTACCGGGGAAACATACGTTAATATAACCTTGATAGCCTTCCACATCCTACCCATAAGATGGTCCCTCTCCAAGTTCCTCCTCTTCTCTTATTTCAGCTGCTACGTAGCATCTCAAGTTTGTAGGTAGTGGAGGGTAAGACTGGAGATTAGGTAGTGACACCTCTTAAAGCTCTCTAGATAGAAGTTAGGTCCTCTTCCACACGGCTACTAGAAAGTGGGTGTTGGGGCTATAAAGAAGGGACATCACCCTTATCATCTACTAGAAAGTGGGTCTTGGGGCTATAAAGGAGGGACATCA